TGAACAATTTTTTAATGCGGTAGCAAAAGTATTTAAGTTGAAACAAGTTCATTTCATTTTTAGAAAGAGGTACGGGGTTGTGCTATGGGATTTCATGTAAGTCAGAGCTGAATGCCACTAGTTTTTATACGGCTTTGAGTGCATGTTGAGTAGCTGATACCTTGGTTTATCAGGTGGGAGAGTTTTTTGTTTCTTCATGAATACCAGAGTCCACTTATTTTATCTGGATGCATAACATTACAGCATAGGATGCTTGTGGCCTTATTTCTTGGCTTTTAAGGAGCTGCCACATTTTCTCTTCCTATGAATTTGTTATTATTATAGAAATTAATTGTATAAGCCTATGGAATGTCAGGCCAATACCATCATTCTAGGATTGTAAAGTGATATGTTGACATATCTTTCATGGTTATGAATTTTCATTAAGGTTGGAATGCCACTTTCATTAATCTGTTTTTAGATCAACAGTATCTGTAGCAGAAAAAAATGACCTGTAAAACTGTATTTGAAGACCATGCGAGAACTAGAATAAAAATTGAGAAGTGAATGTAAATAAGAAATGTGTATTTTGTGTATGAGGTTCCAGAAGAAGTGGTTTGGCAGCGTATGTTACATCACGCTGGATGTTTTGGGTGCCCTTGGGATCAGCCAGCAGAGAAACTTGTCTCTGGTTTTGGTGGTGGCAGCACGAGTTGTCTGCGCGGATGTTTTTCATAGGCAGGTGTCCATGACCCTTCAGAAGGACTCACTCCAAAGAGTTTTGGGGTGGCAGTGATGTTTCTTGTTGGCCCATCTATGAGTAGCACCACTTGAACTTTCCCAGGTCTTTCAAAGGTGGTCTCCAGTGTCTGGCAAAGCCAGTGGGAGCTGTGTTGTGGCAGTGCTCGTTTGCTCTTTCTTACTCTTACTCATTTTTGGGTTTTTGATGTTTTTCAGGCTGGCTGGTGGGTTTAGAGGTTGCTGTGTTGCTGGCTGGCCTGTCAGCAGAACCAAGGGGGGACACAGTAATTTGGGGGTGTCACGCAGTGTGTAAGGGGTAACGCTGTGACTCCACAGTCAGGCCTTAGTTCTACATCCACCAAGTTTGACTTGGGGAGAAATAACCCCCTGCACCAGTAGGGGTTGGGGGCTGAACTGCTGGGGAGCAGCTCTGAGGAAAAAGACCTGGGGGTCCTGGTGGACAACAGGATGCCCACGAGCCAGCAATGGGCCCTGGTGGCCAAAAAGGCCAAGGGCATCCTGGGGGGCATCAGGAAGAGTGTGAGCAGCAGGTGGAGGGAGGTCATCCTGCCCCTCTGCTCTGCCCTGGGGAGGCCCCAGCTGGAGCACTGGGACCAGTTCTGGGCTCCCCAGTTCCAGAAGGACAGGGAACTGCTGGAGAGGGGACAGCAGAGGCTACAGAGATGCTGAGGGGCCTGGAGCATCTCTCTGATGAGGAAAGGCTGAGGGACTTGGGGCTTTTTAGTCTGGAGAAGAGAAGGCTGAGGGGGGATCTGATCAACGCCTATAAATGCTTCAAGGGTGGGTGTCAGGAGGATGGGGCCAGGCTTTTTCCAGTGGTGCCCAGTGACAGGACAAGAGGGAATGGGCACAAACTTGAATGTAAGAATCCCAACTGGATTTAACTCCATTCCCCACCACTCTCTGGGCCCAGCCTCCAGCTGGTTTTTACCCCAGTGGAGATGAGACTGAGAGGGATAGAGGTGAGATGATCCCTCCCACTGTGTCCCTGTCACCCTCCTACCCCTCTTGGTCTCCTGCCTCTATGGGTTGCCCGTATCTTCTGCCCAATGCCCGGGAAGGCTGGTGCCCTGGAGCCAGGAGGAGAAGTCCCACACACTCTTTGTCCCCATAAGGGCAATTTTTCCAGTGTGGTGTTTCCAGGGCCAGCCCTGTGGCCAGTAACTGCCTTGTCCTGCTGAGCCACCGGGAGGGGAAGGAGTGTCCCCCCCCATGTTATGGGATGGAGAGAGGTGTCTTTCACCTCCAGTGTGGCTTTTGGGCTCCCTTCTCCCCTTCCTTCTTCTTCTCCCCTTCCTTCTTCTTCTCCCCTTCCTTCTTCTTCTCCCCTTCCTTCTTCTTCTCCCCTTCCTTCTTCTTCTCCCCTTCCTCCTTCTCCCCGAAAAAATCTGAGGGAAGGGCCCTGTTACCAGGAAAAGCCATGAGGATCCCGCTGGGGTAATTAACACTTCCGTTTTTATTGCAAGGAAATTGAACTTTATTTCACCAGCTGCTCCCCCTTCCAGAAAGGCTCCCCCCCACACTTTCCCCACGCCAGCCGCTGTCCCCCCAGGATCCGTCCCGCAGGATGCGGAGGGTGGTGCGGGGCCCTTTGGTTCTCTGTCCCCCCGCCCCATCCGGCGGGGGCGGGCGCGG